GTAGGAATGGCCAAAGCCAGACCCTGGCTCCAGCCTCGTGGGAGGAGAGCAGCAGTTTGGCCAGCCCAACCCAAGGGGTGGCAGCAGCCCAGAAGCCGGGTGATGGCCACCCATGCTGGGCACAGAGGAGCACGGTAGCCCAGGGCTGCTGCCCAGGCATCTCACACGTGCCGGAGAGCGTCACATGCAGCCGCCCTCTTGATTTCAGTCATACCTCTAATGCGAGAACTCACCAAACCCAGGCATTTCCAGGATATTCTTCTTTCTTAAAGGGTGAGTAACTTTTTTTAATGAGGGACGACTAATGATCCCTCCAGGGAAGGGCTGTCACCGCTGAGCAACTGCCAAAGCACACGCAGCGACGAGGCCGGGAGGGGGGGGTGGATGGGCCCCAGCAGGTGCCCCCAGCCCCATGGACCTGGAGTCGATGCCTTTCCCTGTGTGCACCCTCCCTGTGTCATCCCCCCCCCAACACCCAGATCTCCCTGCTCCATCCCAAAGCCCGTTGGGGCCATGCTGGTGGCACCGAGGACAAGGAGAACAGAGAGACCCTGAGCAGGATGACCTTGTCTCTGCAGATGCGTGTGATGTGGTGTTTATCCCCCTTCCCGTAACCCCCATCCGTGGGGAATGAGGAGCTGCTGCCTCTGCAGCTGAAGAAATCTGCCCTGGACAGCATGGCTGGGCTTCCCCGTGCCTCAGTTTCCCTCTGTTGTCCAGCACAAAGCCCAGGCTTGCAGCGAGGAGCAGGGGGAGAGCAAACAGCCCCGCAGCCCCACACCACTGCACAAGCAGCGAGGACCAAGACCCCTCGGGAAAGGCCACGAACTCACCCCTGGTGTCACCGGCTCCGGGTTCAGCAGCCACCCAAAGCAGGGCTCCCAGCCAGCTCCCCGGATTTCCCAGGAGAAGCGTTAGCAGGACGGCCGGCACGGTGACACCGAGCAGCTGGCGGGCATTGGGACGGGCTGTGCTGGAGCTGCCACCACCTGCAGCTGCGCTCGGGTGTCACCCGGGGCCCAAAAACCCAAAGTGAAGGGACCAGCTGAGTTCTCTTCCAGGCTCAAATTAGTGGCATTGAGATGGGTCATCCCTTGCCGTGGCTTTAAAAGTACAAGTCACGCCAAGCAAAACAGCACGTGGTGTCACCAGGAAGCCACCAAGTGCGGGACACGTAGGTCACTGCTCATGCTGTGGGGGGACGGGGACCTCCCCAGCTGGTGACACTCCAGGCAGCTTTGAGGGGACAGCCCTGTCCTTGCCCTGCTCTGGGGGCACATGCTGTGTCCCCCTCCCCGTGCCCCGGTGGTGCCGTGTCCCCCCCCACGCTCCCCGGGCAGCATTTTGCAGCAGCCGGGGGAGATGACGGGCGCCATTCCCCAGCTCTGTGTCACCCGCAGTAATAACACCCTGCGCTCCCTTTCATCTCAGAGCCTCCAAGGTGGCCCTCTCCGGGGCGAGGGCGTCCTGGCATCATCACTTATCATTAATTCCAGGAGGCAGCTGGGGATGTGGCGGGGTCTGGGGGTCCTGGCCGGTGACATGAGGACCCCAGGCTGAGAGAAAAGAGTTGCACTGTTCGTGCTGGGGAGTAAACGTGGGTGCTCACCGTGCAGCTGCTCTGAATGCAATGACAGATTTGGCCTTGCTGTAGCCACTCGGGGCCACGGAGGCACAGCCCTGGGGACACGGGTGTCCCGGCAGTGGGGGTCTGGGGACAGCAGTGACACCTCTGGGACGAGCTGTGCAGGAGCAAACAGGGCTGGACGGGGATGTGAGTGACCAAGAGGTGTCCAGGCACGGTGTTTGCTGAGGGAGGCTTTGAACACGGTCAATGAGAAGGGTTCCACTTCCTAAATCCACAGCAACTGTCTGGGGACGGTGGCGTGCATGTGGGGACAGCAGCACATGTGCAAGGGACAGTGGGCATTTGCATGGAAATGGTGGCATGGGGACGGCAGGCAAATGCAGGGGGACAGCTGGCATCTGCATGGGGACAGTCTGTGTCTGCACGGGGACGGCTGGTGGGTGTGCACGGGGCAGCAGGGGCACGCACAGAGGTGGCTGGGGCGTGCATGGGGACAGCCGGTGTGTGCACGGGGACAGCCTGGGCCACGGCTGGCATGTGCATGGTGGCAATGCTGGGGGTGGCTGCTGTGGGAGCAGGGCGGGAGGAATGCCCCCACCCCATTGGGAAGCATTGCTGCTCCCCTGGGGCGATGTTGGGTGACGTTGGTGGCTCTGGGAGAAGGGCTTGGTTCTCTCCTGCTTGCTCAGGGAGTTGGCACACACCCTGCTTAATGGCGGGTGGGACAGAGCCAGTCCCACACGGGTCAGGGAGTCCCCAAGGTCTCTCTTCACCTCCAGGTTAGACTTTCACCCCCTGCCCTGCTCCTCCAGCCCTTTCCTCCCAGATCTCCCACTGAGCAGCCCCTGATGGGCCCCTGCCCCTCTCCATGCCCCTGGCAGCAGGGTGCCCTGTTCCTCCCCGTGCACACGCCGGGGCACGTCCCAGTTCCTCCCTGGGTGACTTCCCGGTGGGGCAAAGCTGGTGTCCCCCGGGCAGACCTGGGATGCTGCCAACCCCGGATCCATGGAGTGAGTGGTCCATGGCATCCCTGAGCCCCCCAGCCCACCCTTACAACCCTAAAGGGGCTTTGCAACCTTCATGCCATCACCCGGGAGGCAGGATCCACTCGCATTTCACCCCAAGACAGTGATTATTGCTTAATTGCCAACAAAACAAACGAATAAAGCCCGGGCTGGCCCTTGCTGAGCTGGAAGGAAACGGCCTCGGTGCCATTCCCAGCCCTGGGTTCGCTGCCGGCGGCTCTTCGAGATAATCGTTTGGTGATGGATGTTAACGAGCAGCTCAGCCAGTCCAGCCAGAGCGCGTCAGCTCTTTTTAATGGGCCGATGTTTTCTCTGGAGCCATCAACACTCTGGTCCCTCTCGGCCGGGGCAGTGCCAGCCTGTATCTCCTGGCTCATCACCAGGCCACCGGCTCGTCCCCCCAAGGATATGCAGCACCTGGTTCATCCCTTTGGCTCTGTGGCCGCATCCTGCCCCACCGCCCAGGGTCATCGCAACTGGTGGGGTCCCTCAAAAGGCCCTGCCCATGGCTCAGCACCCAGCCAACCCTTCCTCCTGCACCCAAATCCCCCCAGCTGGACCCCTGGGATGGGCTCTAGTGGGGCAGATCCTGATCCCTAAAACCATTTGGCCCCTCTCAGCGTCTTGGGAAACTCCTCCCTATCTGGCTCTTTTGCTGACAGGATCAAAGGGATTTTGCAATGGGAGGTGGCTGCCTGATTTTTTATCAAGTTCCTTGGAAAATCACATTCCAGCATGGCTCCTCTCCTCCCATGCCCCAATTTGGAGCCTTGTGGTGAGCAGCCAGGAGCAGCATTTAATCCTGATGGAGATACCTGATGGAATCACACAATGATGTCAGCAGGAGCCAGAGCAAAGTGCTGTGGCACGAGGAGTGTCCCCATGCGAGGACCCTGGTGAAGGGGACTCCAGCCCTCCGTGAGGATCCTTCGGGCTGTTGGTACATCATTGGGTGGGGAGGATTTCAGAGCGGACCAGAGCTCAGGGCACCTCCTTGCCTCCTCTCCCCTCCAAACCCAGCTGTGCGTGCTCCTAAACACCCCATTTCCCCCCAAACCCAAATCTTCCCATCACCCAGTTACTCTTTCCATAGCCAACTCCAGCTTCCAGCAGCAGACCCCTTGGGTACAGGAGAGGACAACCTACCACCATCGAGCGCCAGCTTTGGAGGTGCTCTTTGCAGCTTGAAAGAGCTCTGCAATGGCCTCCCTGAGGTGAAATGCCCCAGGTTGGGGGTCTGGGGGTTTCCAGGGATGCTTTTGCAATAAATCCCAAAAAATGAGGATCAGTGCTGGTTCGTTCCCCAACCTGGAATTTAAAGCTGGATCCCAGCTCCGAGCAGGAACCGGGGAAATGGGAGCGGCAGCTGCAGATACGAAGCCTGGAGTCGTGCCCGTCTGTCCGCGGGACTGCAGGGCATCGGGCTCGGCGGGGAGGCGCCTCCTGGAAATGTCTGCAGGGTTAAATGCCGCGGAGAAATGAGCTCTTTAAAGTGATGGGAATTGTTGGGATGAAAGGAAATGGGCGGCAGGGAACACAGCTGGCCTGAGGAGGAGGTGGTGGCTTGGCCGGCAGCAGAGCCACGCAGTGGGTTTGAGGGGCTGCGGCTGAACTCCCAGGGCTGGGAGTGACGTGGGCTCCATCCCCCTGGCGTGTCACCCCCGTGGTGTCACCCCGTGTCGCCTGGGTGCCAGAGCTCCCCCCAGCCAGCCGGCGCGGTGGGTCCCTGGGGACACTGCTGGCCTGGGAGAGGGGGTGCTGGGGCGGGGTGGGGGGGGTGTGGCACGCCAGGGGGCACTGGGCTGTGGGGTGCCCAGGCTGTGGTGTAGCCGATCATGGAACACGGATGGGGCAGCAGGCTGTTGGCTGTCAATGGGGCATCAATGGGGCCTCAATGGGGCATCAATGGGGTGCCAATGGGGCACCAATGGGACATCAATGGAGCATCAATGGGGCACCAATGGGACATCTATGAGGTGACAACGAGACCTCAATGGGGCACCAATGGGACGTCAATGGGGTCTCAATGGGGCATCAATGGGGTATCAATGAGGTGTCAGTGGGGTGCCAATGGGGTGTCAATGGGGCATCAATGAGGTATCAATGGCGTGTCCCTTTAAGGCGCGGCCCGTCCTGACCAATCACCGCCGGGATTCCCGCACGCAGCGGGCCGCGCCGGAGGGGCGGGGCTCTACCGGTCTTCCCCGCCCCTTCCCCCTTCGCCCCGCCTTCTTTCCCTACCCTCTCCTCTGATTGGCGCCCAGCCCAGCCCCACTCTTCCTCCTGAGCCGATGAAAGAGCGGGAGAGGCGGTGAGGCCGGGCCGGGATTGGCGGAGGGGCCGGGCCAATGGGGGCGCGGCCGGAGGTCCTATATAAAGGGTCGGCGGGGCGCGGGCAGCGCAGTGCTGCGCGCAGCCGGTGGCGGGCGGGGAGCGGAGCGGGCCGGGCTGGGCTGGTTCCTCGCAGCGACCCTCCGGGCACCGACCGCGCCTCCCCGCCTCCGCCCCGTGGGGAACAGCCCACGGAAACACCTATTTTTTTTTTTTTCAGCTTTTTTTTTTTTTTCTTCCTTTTTTTTTTTTTTTTTTTCCTAATTTTCCTCCCGCTTCCCTTCCCAACCCGGCACTTCCGGCTGGTTTCCGGGCCGTTTCCGGGTGACTTGAGCTCCTCTTCCGGTGGCGTTTCCACTCGGGGCGGGTGGGAGATGCTGGTGGCGGCGGCGGGGCCCGCTCCGGGCGGCTCGGAGCAGCGCGGCGGCCGGTTCAGCGTCCTCTCGTGGGAGCAGGTGCAGCGGCTGGACCAGATCCTGGGCGAGGCCGTGCCCATCCACGGCCGCGGAAATTTCCCCACGCTCTCGGTGCGGCCCCGCACCATCGTCCAGGTGAGGCCCCGGGGGAGGCGGCGGGGGAGGGGGACAAACCGCGCTCCGTCGCCTCGATGGACTCTGCCCCGCTCCCGCGTGGGTCAGGGAGAAAAATAAAACTGCTGAGGCGGCGGGAACCGGGCGGCCGGGCCCCGAGCCAGCACCCTCTGCCCCCCCCATCCACCCCCCCGCTCGGCTCAGGACAGTGTCCGGCCCGCCCGGGTGCGGGTCCCCCCGGGGGGGAGGATGAGGATGCTTCAGGGTGTGAAGGGTTAAAAGGGTTAAGGTGCTCGGTTGACACCCCCACCCCCTTTTCCCCTCCCTGGGGGTGTGGGGGGTGCTGGCAGCCGGCTCTGTTCCGCCAGTAGCCGTGGCAGAAAAATATCTAAAGACCCTCCTGGAAACAGCCTCCTCTGGAAAAATCACATGCGTTTAAAATTCCTGCCCGGTCCCCAAAGCCGCTGCAGCTTGTGGTGCGGATCCTGCTTTTGCTTCCTCCCAGCCTGGGATCCTCCTCTCTTCGAGCCGGTTGGGTGCCCGAAGAGGTGTGAAATGTGGGTGGCCAAGGCCAAGTGGCTTTTTGGAGCTGCTGCCGTGAAATGGCTTCGTGCTGGTGGACATGTTGGGCTTGTGTGTTGTAAGAGGCAGTTATTAATTTAAATGCTTGATCAAATGTCACTGTCCTTTGATTCTTGTCGCACTGACTGTATCCTCCAGTGTCTGCCTAAGACTGCATCTTGTTAAAGAGTTCCTGTTAGTTTAACCATAAAGTAATAACTGTGTTTAATATTAAACTAACAATGTAGTTCAAATAAGCTGATGCATATTCATGTTTGGGAGGCAACTTCATTCCTCAGTAATGACTCATCAAATGTAAAATCGGGCATGTTAGCTTCTAATTAAAAAGGCTATTCACAAAGCTAAAACCAAACTGGCTTTCACAATAAGCTAATCACTAAGAATTTGAAGCCTCAGCTGCTTGAGAAATATTTCTACTTAAGGCCAGAAAATGGAAAGGTGACATTTGAAAGACACTCTGCTGCAGGAAAGCCTCAGCTGATTGCAAATTCCTCAAGTTCCTGCTGCATCTGTTGGGGGCAGAAGTGCTAAATATTGGCTGCTAAAGCTTTAAACTGAATGACAGATGAGAGCTACTGTCAGGACACTGCCCTTGGGTTGTGCAAGGCCAGAGAAGCTCGGCGCTGTTAAAAGCCCGGCGCGGTGCAGCATCAATTGTTCCACCAGTTATTACTGTTTGGTTCCACAAAACTTGAAGCCACTTGGTGTCAGAGCTGCTGAAAAGGATGTTGCCACTAGCAACTTCAAACACTAAATAACTGAGGGCTGTAATTCTGACCAACCGCCCTGGCAGAAGCTGTATTTAGGGCTGACTAATCTGAAACAAGTAACCTAAAAGGCAGTTATTTATTGCATGTTCTTGTTGTTGTGGGAGGTGGGAAGCAGCAGGTTGGGGCGCAGGCAGGGTTTGCTCCTGCCTGGCTGTCAGAGTCAATTATCTGAACCACACGTAACGTGAGGTGCTGTTTTGGGAAGCAGGTCAGCAGCTGCCTAACCCTCTAAATATCCAACCCCCTGGGGGAAAAAAAAAACCTGCATACCTGAACCCACTAGCTGCAACCAGGGAGCTGTGCTTCAGGTTGAGACTGGCAGGCTGAAGCCTGCTGTCCTTAGGGAAGTGGCAAGGCTCTCTGCTCCCTCGTGCTCTGCAGGTTGGAGCTTTTTGGGGAGTGATTTGGGACAAGAATGGCTTGAGCAGTTGGAATTTCCCCCTCCTCCCGTTCTCTGAATACATCTCACGGGGGTGGACCTGTAAACCTGTGAATCTTCAGAAAACCTGAAGCTTATGGGTCTGAAATGCTGCAGGTCCTGAGCTGTGCCTAGAAAAGGGTTAAGCAGATGTTCTTGGGGACTAGGAAATTAATCTGGCATGAGATCTTCTTCCAGCACTGGTCCTAGCTCGGCATCTAACTCTTCTGTGACCTATATCTTGTCTCACTGAGCCTAATAGCACATAAAACTCTTAACTCCACCAGCAGTGCTGGAGCTGTGCCTTGTGTGAGTGACTCTAGTGACTGGTCAGTTGGTAACAAATGCACCCCAGCAACTCCCCTGGGTTGACTGCATGATACTTGTTCTATATGGGGGAATAACACTGTATGTCTTCTAGGAGTAAATTCAGTTTTCAGACTATCTGCCTTGGAAAACTGCTTTCATGGCTGGGTTGGATGTGCTGGTGGGGACTTGGGACTTCCGATGGTGAATAGCTCACTGGTTAACTGTTGCCTGACGTGTGACTATCACCATTGGCTTGGCAAGGAGCCTGGGCACATTTCTAGTCTGAGCATAAGTGGCTCATGTCAGGGAGTAATAGGGGAAATACCAGCAGAGAAGCTGCATCATGAGATTTAACAACCTCCAAGTTCAAAAACATTCATCAATTTGTACCAAGATACCTTCTGTTTGCAAGGGCACCTTGGGGCAGCAGGAGCTCCCTGGTGTGGCCTTTTAACTTGGTCACCAAGAGGTCTGTGATGTGCTAAAGGTTGCATACTACAGTCCTTCACCTCTTCTGTATTGTTTTTTTCTAAACAAATTTGTGGAGGGGCAGTTTTATAGCTGTTGAGACTTGCTGGAGCTGCAATGCTGACATCCCCCAGAACTGTCTGCTCAGGGCCATGTCAACCAAGCGTGTTGTTTGGTTGATAAAGTTGTGCATTTTAGTGGGGCCTCTCGAACTAGAACAACTTCACAGGGCTGAATAGCCCAGTCAGACTGGCTTTTAGTGATATAATTTGACCATTTGTATCCCAAGCTTTGGCCCTTTCAACTCTAGCACCCGGGGAGCAGGCTGGCTAGCTGGGACTCACAGGACAGTGGGTAATTGCTGGAGAGAAACATGAAAGCAGGATGAGCTTCTGGTGGAAGATGCAAACTTAATCTTCCTGGGATCTTTGAGCTCAGTTAAACTCAAATTATAAGCTGGTGTCCAGATAGTTTATTTTATGGTCTCGGGGTTATTTCAGCCTCCTGCATGTTAAGTAATCAGGCAAGTGATTCAGCTTCACTCTAAATGAACAAAGCTTTGGAGGTACTGGTGGGTGTGCCAGGACTGAGCAGGCAGCATTAAAATCACCAGAGTAACACCCGTAAGATGAAAGCTGCCTCTTGTGCTTGATAGCATGCCAAGTTCAGCACGAAGCTCTGACACACTGGAAATTGTTAGGATACACTTACTAGTTAGGACATGAACTTGCATACGCCTGGCTGGGGCTTTTGAGCAATTCTGGCATCTTGATTTGCCTTTAATGAATCTTGACAAGCAAAGGGGATGGCTAAAAGGAGTGAGCCACCCTGATTAAATCAACAGGGACTGCTGCAGACTGTGCTGCCACCTTGTATTTGGAGTTCTTTTTGGATTGGCTGGTCTTTGCTGGCTGGCTGGAAAGGCTGGCTGCAACCATGAAGGGGATGAAGGGGGCAGAGACCACCCTGAGGAACGGGTTTGGATAACCTCTGCTTTGGGGGGGAAGGAAGGGAAGAGCAAACAGCTGGACTGGAAGCAGAAACAGCTGTTCATGTGCACTAAGAGCCCTCTAATGCAAGGGAATAAGTCAAGAAGAGCCACCCCTAGTTGCTGTCAAGACTCTGGATGCTTTCTAAAGTGACCTATTTCTAATGGATTAGCTTTTTATTTCACTGGCTTGCACTAGAGTGACCCATATAAGTGCAGGGAGTGAAACTTGCTGCTGTATCCAGGCTGCTCCGGGAATGCTTTCTTGCCTCTCACTGACTCTCTTTATGTCTCAGGTTGTCCGTAGTCGCCTGGAGAAGAAAGGAATTGCAGTCCATAATGTGAGGTTGAATGGCTCAGCGGCCAGTCACGTCCTACATCAAGACAGTGGCTTGGGGTACAAAGACCTAGATCTCATCTTTGGTGTAGATCTGAAGACTGAAGATGTCTTCCAGCTTGTTAAAGATGTGGTCATGGACTGCCTTCTTGACTTCCTCCCAGAAGGTGTCAACAAAGACAAGATCACCCCCATGACTCTGAAGGAGGCATACGTGCAGAAGCTTGTGAAGGTATGCAACGAGACCGACCGCTGGAGCCTCATCTCCCTCTCCAACAACAGCGGGAAGAACGTGGAGCTGAAATTCGTGGACTCTCTCAGACGGCAGTTCGAGTTCAGCGTGGACTCCTTCCAGATCATCCTGGATTCGCTTCTGCTGTTTGGGGAGTGCTCAGAGAACCCCATGGCTGAAAACTTCCACCCCACGGTCACGGGGGAGAGCATGTACGGGGACTTTGAGGAGGCAATGGACCATCTCCGGAACAGGGTCATTGCCACAAGGAACCCAGAGGAGATCAGAGGTGGGGGGCTTCTGAAGTACTGCAACCTCTTGGTGAGGGGGTTTAAGCCCAAATCGGAAGTGGATATGAAGGCACTACAGCGATACATGTGCTCCAGGTTTTTCATAGACTTCTCTGACATCGGTGAGCAGCAGCGGAAGCTGGAATGCTACCTTCAGAGCCACTTTGTTGGGATGGAGAGCAAAAGATATGACTATTTGATGACCCTCCACAGGGTGGTCAATGAGAGCACAGTCTGCCTTATGGGACACGAAAGGAGGCAGACCCTGAACCTCATTGCCATGCTGGCTGTGAGAGTCCTGGCTGAGCAGAACATCATCCCCACGGTCACAAACGTTACCTGCTACTACCAGCCAGCTCCTTATGTCAGTGAAATAAACTTCAACTACTATGTCACCCACGTGCAGCCCTTCCTGCCTTGCAATCAGTCTTACCCAACGTGGCTTCCCTGTAACTGAGCTGGGACAAACTTCAGGGTCTGTCCTCCAAGGTACTTCCTGGCCTTGGGGAGTGGGGAGGGAGGGTGGGGGCAAAAAAAAAAAAAAAGACAAAACAAGAACAAACCTTCCTAGAACTGCAACAAAAGGAAACTTCCTGGACTCTTGCTTGAGTGTCTTGTTCCTGGGGTTGTTGGAACGAGGCCTGTCTGCTGTACACTGTGATGGGAAGTGCAGTGTTATGGAAACTAGATGACTTGGACGTTTACAGGAAGACTCGATCACTTACTGAATTCTGGAGGCAATGGGGGAGGGTGGGGGTGTGTGAGGGGAGATTGTAAAGTTACACTAAGGTAGAACTGCACTGCCCTGAAATGGATCTGAATTGTGGTTTTTAGTGCGGGAGGTGTTATGGGTGTGCAGACTTGTGGCTTCTGAAGATAGAAGCCAGAGTGGCTAATTCCTCTGAAGGACCAAAGAATCCTGTTTAAGTGCCTGTAACAATATAAACACAACTGTACTGTAAACCTTATTTTTTTTTGCAGGGGCTGACATCCTAAGAGCTTGAGTGGGGATGTCTGAAGAGGAAAATGTTTCTGTTGGGGGTGGGGGGGGTGGGGAGGGTCGTAAGATCATTTCTAGTAACCTCGCTGAAGCAAGAATGGGATCGCAGGTTACATGTCGCTGAGGTTTTTTGGCATGGCTTGCTGCCTGTGAAGGACCAGCTGTAGCAAATAGCTGTCAAAGTGGAGTTGCATAAACAGGGGTGGGCTTTGAATGACTACGTGTAAATGCCTAAAACTGGGGACAGGGGGGTGGGGGGGGAGTGCATGGTGGAAAATGCTGTGCAGAGCTTTATGGAGAAAAGGCAGCAGGGACCTACATATGAATTTATTCAAGCTCCCAAGTCTGCAGTGCCAAAATGTAATCATGTACATAAATGATGAGGCAGAAGATCTGTCCAGGAGCCTGCCCCAGGCTACCGTACCTAATCATGTATTTTCTAGGGGAATTTGAAATGCTGCTTTTTCTTTTTTTTTTTTTTTGGCATGCAGTGTGGTTTTAATGCACAAAGCCAGAGGCCAGCTGGGTTATCTGGGAAGATGAGGCTTGTCCTTTGAAGCACAAACCAACTAGTTTACTAGTCAGTCATCTCCGGCTGTTGCTGTGATGGGGGCTGGAGCCCATGTCCTTCTAGGAGATAGGCAGACCTCTTCCAGCCTCTAGCCTCCTATGGCTGGAGATCTTCCCTCTGCCCTTGGGCAGGTCCTATCTTCAAAAGCAGCCTATTTCCAGTGATGTGATTCCACATGTGAGCCACTGATAGCATTTGAAATTCATTCTCTAGCTAGAAATGGAGCTTGGGGGTTGGGAGGGTATACAAAAGTCAGTTGGCCTTAGGAAAAAGTATGTCTTCTCTAAAAAGACCTTCTTGTGTCTTGAGGATTTGGCTCTCTTGGTCAAATGTGGCTTTGAAGTTGTTGAGTGTCTAGAGCACAAACAGTCTTTCACTGTGGTGCCTGGATTGCTGTGCCCGTTCTCGTGAAACATTCATCTCACTTAACTATGCACAGAGGGAGAGTTGGGCGAGCAAGCAGGCGCTCCCTAGGGATGCTGCTCTGGGAACACCATGACTTCGTGGTGCTTCCTCCGAGGCTGACATACTTGAGTATCTTTAACTTGGTTTTTTTTTTTTTTTTTTTTGTTTTGTTTTTGTGACAAAACTGTAATAGCTGGGCAGATTGAATGCGCTAATAAAGACTAGATCCTTGGAATGTGTATAGCCAGATTGCTACCTTTTTTGGGGTAGGGGTGATGTGGAGTGGGTGTAAGGGGGGGGGGTGGGGAGTGATCTGGGGGCTCTTGCATTTAACATGAACTAACCAGTTGGAAATTGGCCCAGCTTTGCTTCCCATCCAGTCAGAGCTGAAGAAGTGTCTCTAACAATGTAGTTATTACAGGTTTAACTGCCTTCCTGTAGAACAGCTTTGCCTTCATGGTCAAGGCTGGTGCGTAGACTCTGCCGCAGCCCAGTAACTCCCTGGTGCCCAGAGCCTAATCCCTGTGGTGGGAGCGTGAGATTTTTCCAGTGCAAGATAAAACTGGTTTAAGGGCTGCTTTTGAGACCCTGAGTATGCCACCTTCATAGCTTCAAGGAAAGATATTTTATTTTCTTGCATTTTAAACTTCAGATGAACATAGATGACGTGTAGCATGCTTTTTTTACAGCCTGCTTACCCTCTACCCACAGACACATAGACGCACTAAACTGAGATTCCCTCCTTCCCTTGAAGATGTCAAAGAGATTCCCTATAGCCAACAGCTCAACAGGGCAACTTAAGTTGAGATTGCACTTTTGATTTACAGAGTGTGTGTGGTGGGACTCTTGTGAATGGGTTGAATCTGAATTTTTCTAGACCTTGCAGTGATACTGTGCTGCCTCCTGTGGGGGGGCAATTGGAAGATTCCAGTAGCTTGAATGGCACTTGATTTTGTTTTAAATGTCTTTTTTCCTACACCTGTATCACTTGTCATGCAATGGGCTTGACATAGACTCACTAGATTCTTTAGAATCTGTTACAAATAAATACAGTGTATTCAAATTTGTTGGATTTTTTTTTTTTTATTTGCTTGTCCATCTGGGTAGCATGGTGTTGAGATGGCTGACCCTACTCCCACCAACAACCAGGCTGTGAACCAACTGGTCGCCTCGAGAGGAGCGAGCTGAGGTCTTGGGTCTGGACCTGGCCCAACGCTGCTTGTCAGGCTGCCTAGTCCCTCAAACTGAAGTGGCTACAGAGCCTGGGAAGCGTGTTGGCAGGTCACTCCTGTGGCTGAGGGAGGTTTCTATTTATGATATTCTTTAGCGAGGTGCATCTTCCCTTTTCCTGGTGGGGGAGGGTGGCCCGATGTGGAGCCTGCTCGGTGTCGGTGGTGATCTGAGGTCCCTGCTGCTGGGGACGGTATGGGTGACTCGCTGCTGCTGGTTTTCCATGACTTCATTCTCAGCTGCTGATGGTCATGAGCAGCAAAAGGTTGCTTGAGTAATTCAGACTTGCTTATTTTGTGTAGCTGACCCACCTGCAAAGTGGTTCCCCTTGGAAAGGGGAGGGTGAGAGGCTCTGAAAGGTTTATCTCCCAAAAAATCTTGGATCAGCTGATGTTCAGGCCAGGTTCCCATGTGGTGGCTGGAAGCTGGCTGCCTGTAGCTGGGTGCAAGCTCCTCCAACTCTGGCTGCCCTCCAGCCTAAGATGAAGTTTCACTTCCCCTTGTCAAGCTACAGGCAGTTCTGGTTCCACTGCAACAATCGAGCTGTGACGTGCCAGTCCCTCTTTGGGACAAACTTGCTGGCTCTGCATCTCCAAATTTACAGTCTGGGGCCAAGCTTCCCTCTGACAACAGGTCTGGGTTGTTCTTGCTGGGCTGGCACTGTGTAAGACTCTGTCCCTGTCGCTTGCTCGAGTAGGACTCAGTTCCTGCAGAGCTGATTTCTCTTGAAACCTGTTGGCAGCGAGATGGGGTGCTTGCCTCTTGCTGGCACACAGCCCGGCACAAAGCTCCTGCTTTTCCTGAGTGTGTCTTGCGTATGGGAGTGACTCAAATATCTCAGTTTGTCAGCTATCTTCTCAGTGCCAGTGGTCGGTCCTGCCGATGGCTGTTGATGCTCTGGTGAATAAGCTGCCTCTGGATTTGTGACCCTGAGCAGAGCAGCAAAAGCCCTGACAGTCGGCTTGTCATTGTTGGAGCGGATCAGACTATACAAAGGGATGTTAGTGGAAAGTACTAGTTGTGATCAGAAAGGAGCTATCAATGTTTACAACGGAGATTTGGATCCCTCTTTTGTTAATTGTCAAATAAAAAAACCAAACATATATTTTCTCACAGCCTGTAGTCTGTCATTATTTTTCTCTTTGAACAGAAAGTGATGGACAAGTCAGGATGTGCCCAAGTATCTGCTGGATGAGATTTGGTCTCTGGTGATGGGTGTGTTGGTGTGCGCTGGCTGCCCGAGCGCTGCTCAGCCTTGGCTCTGGAGGAAAGATGTGTGTTGGCGTGGCTGTGGCTCTGCCCCAGCAATTCCCTACATTTAAACTACTGGTGGGATGCCTGTGGCAGACTGCTCTGGGTTATACCGCTGGTGCCCAGCTCAGAGAAATGAAGTCGGGAGCGGAGAAGCCCCTGCAGCACCTCTGCGGAGAGCTGCTGGGCAATCGATGCCTTGAGATGCATCCAAAAATATTCAGTGTTGTACCAGCCAGCTCATTTCCAGGGCTGGCGGTGCAGGGTTTACAGCTGTAGACCTGCCCACAGCAGCTTTTCTCCTGGAAGGACACCTGGCCGAGCTCCAAAATCACTGAAACGGGAGGAATTTCTCTTGAATCTCCAGAATGCAAGAAGCATCTTGCTCCATCCTTCCTGCTTTCAGCTGTCCTTAATCTGGCGGCTCGATGCCGAGGGTGGCACCATCTATGTGCAGGCGGGTAGCTAGACCCAGCATGGCATTCAAATTGTGTCTCAGTCGCTTTAATTAGCCTCTTTCTTGTAGTACGCCAGCGTTTCTACCCGGCTTCCCTCCTCCTCGGTAGCCGCTCGGGCAGCGCGGGTGTTAACTCTGCTATTTGAGATCCTGCAGAATGAGAGAACAGTCTGTCTGTGCGGCTCCGCTTTCCATTTATAGCTGTGTTTAGGCGATCCAGCACACGGACCCTTGTGCTCTGACGCCTGGTGCCAAGCACGAGACAAATGCTTCTTTGAGATGTACATACCGGGAGGGCAGTTTGCTCCCGGCGGGGCCCTGGCAGCGGGGTTGGGATGGAGCTGAGCTGCCGGAGGATGGCACAAACTCGGTCCCCGTTGCTGCGGTCCTGAGCCCCGGGAGCAGCTGAGCCTTGGGAGAGGGGTGAAGGCTGATAGTGAGAAACATGTGGCGTGCAATTTGTGCTCTGTCATTGAACCCTCCTATCTTATCTCCTGGCCCTGGTTGGTGTCTGCCGGAGGTTCTGGTTCAGGCTTTTGTATTACAAATAGGATTTCAGCTTATGTGAGAGCTGGTGTGGAGGCGGATGAGCATTTTAAAGGCTTTTTTTTTTTTTTTTTTTTTTTCCTTCGTTCTGCGCATGGAGTATTTGCGCTGTTCAGCTCCAAATGCAGTTTGCTGCAGACCTTTTGGCTCGCGACGAGGAGGCGCAGTGGGAAGCTCCGTGGGTCAACCACCTTCCCCCTCACCTCTCTGACTTCTTGTATCCAGCCTCAAATCAGAAGCTCAAGTGTTCCCTTCCCTCCTGAGCCGTGGCAGGAAGACATCAGTTTATGCGGAGCCTCTCACCTGCTCCACAGCAGGCCAGCTCCCCCCACAAAAAAACCCCAGGTGCTTCTGCAAGAGCTAATGCCAGCTTGCTGGGTGCCTGTTCTTCCCTGCTCCTTCTCTTCTAGCAGCTCCAGCTGGGGTGGAGCTGGTGAGAGCTGCACGTTTGCCGGGTGCCCGGCTGCTGCTTGGGTGGAAGCTGCGGTCAATTCGCTGCTCCCTCATCCGGGTGGATCCCCGAGCCCAGCCACCCATTTCAGCTTGTAGAAACTTGATGGCTCTGACAAATTTGATTGAAATCATCTGCTGGCATCCCAAGTTATTAAGGGGAATGACTGACAGCCGTTGCAAAGTCGTGTTTGCTTAACAGAGGAGAAAAAAAAAAAAAAAAAAAAAAGTCCATCTGCAGCCTCAAGCTGTTGCACAACTGAGCTGTGAGATGAGGCAGGGATGGGGTGTCCTTGCACCCCCATACCCCAATGCTCTGCATGTCCCTTCAGCAATGCCAAGGGGAAATAATGGCATTTCCAGGAGAAAAGACTTGTAGGTGGGACTGTGGTTTTGGAGCCAGGCATTAGGCTGGAGCGATGCCAGGGGAGGCGCAGGGCGATGTGTAATGTGTTATCTCTCCCTGTACAAGCAAGAACATGCATTTTCACTCCTAAGAGCTCACGTTGTTCTTCCAGAGTGTCGTAGCCGTTCCCACCTCTCCTTCCTGGCCAAGAGGTTTCTCTTCAGTGACGGATGGAGACATCTCTCACC